AGACCCAGGCAACCAGCTCCTGAGGTTCAGTCCAAATTCAAATGTCTTAGAACCAGTCGAGCCATGAACTAATACACAGTCCAAAGCTGAAGGCCTGCAGCCACGGGTCAGGGCTGTCAGTGGAAGTCCTGGATACTTGGCTCTCCCAGAGAGCCCAGAGTTCTGATGTTCATGGACAGAAGTATGCCAGAAGATGAGGCAAGGAGAGGGAAGAACTTCACCGTTTTCCATCTGGGCTTTCAGCTGTTCAGATGATACTGCCCATATTGGGTGAGGTGGGTCTTCCCCATAGCCACCAATTCAAGTTTCAGTATCTTCCAGAACAACCTGCAGAGACTGACTCAACAGCAATGCTTTTTCAGCTATCGGGGCAGTCCATAACCCAAGTCAGGCTGACACCCTAAACTGCCACGTTCATCCACGTCAACACGATGTAGTCATAGTGGAATAGCTAGGGCCACATGATTAACAACATCTTCCTAAACCCAACTTTATCTCCCAGTAGACTACATGGGCATGGTTCTACATAACATGAGCCAACTGTGTGGTATATCCCAAGCATCCCCTGAACCCTTCCCCAGAGGAGATGTTTGCTCTCCCCTCAACATCCATAACTCAAAGGTCATGTGATTCATGAATAAGCTGGGGAAGAAACATGAAGGAAATAGACACTGATTCCTCATTCATGAACTATATACCCACAGACACTTTCTTTAAAAGAAAAAAAAAAAGATTAATTTGCTGGGTGTGGTGGTGCACAATTTTTGTTTTTGTTTTTGTTTTTGTTTTTGTTTTTCGAGACAGGGTTTCTCTGTGTAGCTTTGCGCCTTTCCTGGAACTCACTTGGTAGTCCAGGCTGGCCTCGAACTCACAGAGATCCGCCTGGCTCTGCCTCCCGAGTGCTGGGATTAAAGGCATGCGCCACCACCGCCCGGCAAGTGGTGCACAATTTTAATCCCAGAACTTAGGAGGTGGAAGCAGGTGGATCTTTGTGAATTCAAGGCCAGCTGGGTCTATATAAGGAGTTCCAGGACAGCCAGAGCTACACAGCAAGAAACCGTCTGGAGTTTTTTTTTTTAATTTATTTTTATTTTATGTGTATGAGTGTTTTGCATACATACATGCATGTGTACCACATGTGTGCCGTGCCCATGGAGGCCAGAAGAGGGTGTTGGATCCTCCAGAACTGAAGTTACAGGCAATCGTGAGCTGCCATGCTGGTACTGTGAACTATACCCAAGTCCTCTGCAAGAGCACCCAGTGCTCTTAACTGCTGAGACATCTCTCCAGACACATTATTAGAAGAGGAAGTACTGTGGCCACTGCAATCTTTGTGGCTGTCTCTGGTCACGTCACCATAGCTAGCATTTGCAAATGCCTTCTTCCACCACAAATTCTGCAACCCATTTTCCCTTGGCTGCTCTTGGTTCTTACCTGGCAGGTGACCCACACTTTTCCCTGGCCTGTGAGCCCTTGAGGTCCCATTGACCTTATCCTGGTGACACTAGGGGCACCCTAAGGGAGCCCTGAACTGCAGATCTCTCCTAGTAGTTATGGTCAGACATTCTACCAATCCCTAACTCCTCCTCAGCCCAAGGAACTCAGATTGACTGTGAGGGGTGGGGGTGAGGCAGCTGGGGGGGTCTCAGCATCCAGTTCAGGGCAGTGTTTGTTGTACCTCCTTGCAAAAGTGCTCCCTATTCTGGAACCAAGATTTTCTAGGCCAGCAGAGCATAAGGTTGTACAAACAGGACCTCCAGAGGTGGTGATTAACGGTTCCATTCTCATACCCACCCCTTGATTTCTGGACCCATGAATCGTGACTATGGGAGAAACAGTACTGGACATGGGACACTGAGTCAAAGAACATTCAGCCTTCTGGTGAATTCTGCCTCAGCTCTATCAGCCCCAGTTGGTACTGTATCTTATCTTCAAGCTATAAGCCAGCTGCTTCAGATTGATGGAGACACAGACTTGTGAATTACATGGATGTGGCCTCATGTCATGCTTTACTTGTTGGCAAGTGTATTTCTTTCCCAGAGGTAATGCAGTGTCCTTGAGGTTGAAATGTCTGACCGCAAGCAAGATACTTTATACCAGCTTTTGGGAGGTGACTCGTTTATAGGAGGGCAAAGCTCTAATAAATGGGATCCATGTTCTTATAGAAAGAGTGAGGGTTGTGTCCACTCGTCCCTCCATGCTAGGACACAGCAGGGAGGTACCATCTGGGAGGAATAGGTCTTCCCCAGACAACTTGATCTTCCACTTCTCATCCTTTAGAAGCCTGAGAGACAAATTTCTGTTGTTTGGGTGTTACCAGTCTAGGGCTGGGGAGACAGCTCAGTTGGTAGTGCTTGCTTTGAAAGCATGAGGTCTTGAAGTCAATCCCTAGAAGCCACATTAAAAAGCCTGGTATGCTGGTGTCTGCTTATAATCCCAGTGCTGAAGAGGCAGAATTGAGGGTGGGGGTGTCACTGGGGTTCACTGGCCAGCCAGATTAGCTGTAGTGGTTTAAATGAGAAATGTCCTTTACAGGTGCAGGTATTTGAACACTTGGTCCCCAGTTGGTGGTGCTGTTTGGAGGGCAGCCTTGTTAGAGGGGCAGATAGGCTTGGAAGGTTTACAGCCTTGTTAGAGGGGCAGATAGGCTTGGAAGGTACAGCCTTGCTCTACTTCAATTCACTCTCTCTGCATTGTGCTTACAGTTAAAGATCTGATCTCTCCATGTCTGCCACTTGTTGCTATGCCTTGCTGCTATGCTGGACTCTTATCCCTGTGAAACTGTGGCCTCGTGGAGAGTGCCCTTTGACCAGTTGGCAGGATAAGAGATGACCTGTATCGGGCTTACCAAGGTGTGATGGTGGCTAATTGTTTTTTAATTTTTTATTTTTATTTTGCAATACAATTCAGTTCTACATATCAGCCACGGATTCCCTTGTTCTCCCCGCTCCGGCCCCCCTCACCTTCCCCCCAGCCCACCCCCCAGTGATGGCTAATTTTATGCCAACTTGACACAGGCTAGAGTCATTTTGGAAGAGGGAACTTCAAGTAAGAAAATGCCCTCATCAGATTGGCCTGTAGAAAAGCCCGTGGTGCATTTTCTTGACTGATGATTGATGGGATGGGCCCATCCCACAGTCAAGAACTTTTCTACAGGCCAATCTGATGGGAGCATTTTCTTACTTGAAGTTCCCTCTTCCAAAATGACCCTAGCCTGTGTCAAGTTGACACAAAATTAGCCATCACACCTTGGTTAGCCAGACACAGGTCATCTCTTATCCTGCCAACTGGTCAAAGGGCACTCTCCATGAAGCCACAGTTATCAACTTGGAGGAGCAAACAGCAGTGACATCTGGGTCACTTCCTCCTGGTACTTACTCTGTGCCTTCAAGGCTGTCTTAGACCCAATCAGATAGCTCACTTTTATTTGATGTTGGGTTGCTGCGGGACACACCCAGCTTTATGACACGTGGTTCATGATGGGCAGCTTAGGATGCACAGTAATGTGTGAGACATGTTTCTATGAATACCCAGTAGCAGCCAAGAGCAGACTCTCATTAGGGAAGTGGTTGTTGCAAATTAGGGCAGGGCCTCACTCCACAATGTGCTAGGGCAGTCTGCTGCAATTTCCCTGTGGGGTCAAACCAAAGTTCTGCCAATCCAATCCCAGCACCTCTTCTGTGAGGGTCAAAGAGCCCTCATGGAAGAACATCTGAACCTCTTCCTGTTGGGGGCCATTTGCATAGTTTAGAAAATGCCTGAGCAACACACCCAAGTGAGGAATATGGATAGGCCCATGAGAGGCTGTGCTTTTATTTTGGTTGGTGCTGGGGCTTATGTGCAATAACTTATCTTTCCCTGGAAGAGATGTTTTGACATGCCTAAATATCTTATGTTGAAATTCATTTGAATTAACTTCCCTCCCTGACACACCAGTGTCTTTCCAAGAAGTCAGTAGTTGCTACTTCTGAATTGCTTGATTCGGTCGACGTGACATCAGTGCAACAGGCCAGTGGTGAGGAGGAACAGGAAGGTCGTTAAGTTTCTTGTGAACCAAACTGTGAACCAAGGCTGGAGAGCAGATCCTTTGAGGAAGGATGGGAAAGGTGCCCTTACCAGATGAAAGCACACTGACTCTGGTGGGCCTTATGGAAAGGCAAGGGTAGGAAAGAGGTGTTGCCAGTCATTGTCTACGTACCAGCCGCCAGGGCACATGTTCATGCACCCAGGCTGGGAAACAGTATCTAGTAGGGAGTCTATGATTGGAGTTACTACCTGAGTAAAGCTGTGACAGATCCCACTGTCCTCTCTAGGTCCTTCTGTCAGCTGCTCAGGCCAGGAGGAGAGTTGAATGTGTGTGTGTGTGTGTGTGTGTGTGTGTGTGTGTGTGTGTGTGTGTGTGTGTGGTGGTAGTGGTTGGGCGGGGCATGGAAGTCACTACTCTTATTTTTTTAAAAATACATTTATTTATTTATTGTGGGCTGGAGTGGTGGGTACATATGCCATGGAGCACATGTGAGGGCCAGAGAGCAGCTCGTGGGAGTTGTTTCTCTCCTTCCACCATGCAGGTCCTGGGGTGGAACTCAGGTTATGAAGCTTGGCGGCAGGTGCCTCAACCCATTAAGCCATCTTGCCAGCCCCACTTTTGCTTTTCTGAGATAGAGTCTTACTCTGTAGCCTAGGCTGGCCTGGAACTTGCTATGTGGATCAGGCTGACCTTGAGCTTATGGTGATCCTCGTGCCTCTGCCTCCTGAGCACCTGGCTTACAGGCATGTACTACCATGTCTGTCTCACCCTGCATCGTTCAAGTCCATTCATTGTATGGCGTCCGCAGTCCCCCGAGGGGTGTCACTATACTCACCTCACTGGTTTCCCCACTGGAGTAGCTCTAGTCTAGTTGCCCTTTGTTACCATAGCAACCCTTATTGCACAGGTCAGGGAGCCAGCTGAAGGATCCCGCCACTGACTAAGTATGTCTGTTCCTTTTTTTCTTTTCTAGATCCAGGGAAATAATCATAGAATGGAATTGGGGACCTATGGGCTCACAGTGAGATGGACCAGACCGGACACTCTGTGGATCTCCTTACCTGTAAGTCCTGACTCTGACTGTGGGGCCACCCCGAGGATCTAGTCTTCTGAGATCAGTGTCAATCTAGAGCCAGTTCTGAGTCAGCCCTGGACTCGCTGCTCATTTCCTCTTCTCCAGGGCAGTGTCCCCGAGAAAGGACCTTGGGTCCACTTGGGAGAAGGTGGATGGAAAGACCGACAAGAAGTCTTATGGGTATTATGCCCAGGATTTCTCCTGCAGTGGGCCAGGCCTCCCCTTCATGAAGAAGCTCAGACCCATAAACTGGCTCAGGTCTGGGGATTGCTGGAGTCCGTGACCTTTTGTTTTTATGACTCAAGTTTCACTTTTGCTCATGGATCCTGGAAGTTTTCCATAGAAAGATCAAGCAAGAAGTTAGCAGACATTCTGTTTCCCCGAAGGAACACCATGATCAATCAGCCAGCACCACAGATCTGCACAGGCCAGACTGCTCAGACTGTGGGGCTTTGCCTCTGCTCTCCATTATAGTAACTTCAGCCACTGTGCCCATGCCCTCTGAATGCCCCCACATGGCCCATGCCACCCTGGGATCCAATGACTGTCACTGAATTTGAGCTTTTCACTTGACTAGCTTTGGTTCCCACTGCAAAGTACAGTCTTCAGGGATGAGCAATCACAGAACAGTGGAAGGATACTGCCACCCCCCAACCCACACCCCGAGTGTATTTCTCATAGTCATGGTGAAGGTCAACCTTCTGAACCTTTCCGGTGTGGGTAAACAAGTTTAACAAGTTGAATCCAACCTAGAATACTCAATTCCCTGTGTCTTTCATTCATCCCTCTACATAAAACCATTGAAAGTCTCCTATTTCTGATTCCTTCACTGTGGGCCATGTAACACACACACACACACATACACACACACAAATAGTCAAACTAATTAACTAACTAACTAACAACTAACTAGTCTTTTTGTTTTGTTTTGTTTGAGACAAGGTTCACTAAACAGTTCTGACTGACCTTGGTTTGTAGATCAGGATGGCCTTAAATTCAGAGATCTGCCTGCCTCTGTCTCCCAAGTGGAGGCAAGGAGTTAAAGGAGTATACCACCATGCGATTTAATCTTTGTGATTCCTGGAGCTGCATCATTAGACACAATCTGTGTTCAGTGCTCCCATACATCAGATACATCTGTCCTGATCCAACTTTATGTTTGACCCTGTCCTACCTTGCTGTCTCATTTAATATCTATTACCATGAGTTCAAATGATTTCCTTTTCACTATGTTTCTGTCTGTATAACATGGAGAACTCAAGCAGTCCTTCTGAAGTGTAGTGCATATCCTTGGGGTCACATACTGTTCTGCATGGAGACGCATGTTTACTTATGAGTATGGAAACAAATGTGCTGGTTAGTTTTCATTGTCAACTTCACACAAACCTGGAGTCACCAGTGAAAAGGGAGCCTCAATTGAAGAACTGCCTTAAACAGATTGACCTATGACCATATCTGTGAGAGACTGTCTTGACTGATAATTTATTGGGAGGGCCCAGTCCACTGTGGGTGTCACCATCTCTAGACTGGGGGGCCTGGGCTGCTTAAGAAAGTTAGCTGAGCATAAACCAGAGATCAGACCAATAAATAGCATCCCTACATAGCTCCTGACTCCTAGTTTCTGCCTTGAGCTCTTGCCCTGACTTCCCTCAGTGATAGGCTATTACCTGCAAATGTAAGCCAAATAAATCCTTTCTTGCCCAATTTGTTTTGGTTATGGTGTTTAGCACAGCAACAGAAGCGTGAAGTAGGACACATAGGGAGGGTGGTGGTGGAAGCGGCCAGTGTTGTTCTGCCTGGTGGCTACCTTGGGAAAGGTCATTGCTGTTTCCTTGGGCCTTACAGACTTCCCTCCAGTGGACAGGGAGACCCAATCTATGGGGATGGGAACCACTTCTTTGATTTAAAAAAATTATTCTATTTTTAATTGTGTGTATATGTGTGAGCATATGCTGAACATGTGTGTGTGTTGGGGGGATGTACCCATAAAGCTCAGATCCCCTAGAGCTAGAGTTATAGGTAGTAGTGACATCAGTTGTGTGTGCTAGTAGTTGAACTCAAGTCCTCTGGAAGAGCAGTATGTGCCCTTAACCACCGTTAAGAGTTATGGTCATCTCTCTTGCCCATGAGAACTACACCTGCTGACAAGAAAGGTTCATCCGAACACAGGGTGTTGGTGTCCTCAGCTTTATGAGGGTCTTCCCACATGACCCCATTCCAGCTTTCAGGATCCATTCTTTCCCAGCCAGTGTCCTCATTTCAACAGTAGATTTACCTTGCCTTGTGATCCAGTGAGTCTAGAATGAGGTTCTGTATTTGACTTTCAGCACATTCCTCTCTTCATCTCTAGGAGACAAGGCTGCCCTTCACAACCCAGGGGCTTGTAGATCATCTGTGTGATGTTTGATAGTAAATGCAAACCCTGAGCTCATCCTTTTTGTCATCTGGTCCAGAAATATTAGGAGCAAAGGACTGATGTCTTAGCTTTCAAAAAATTTTCAGAAGTATCATATGCAGAGTTACTTAGCTCCTGACTTCTTAGTACTAGTAACAGAGTTATTAGTGGTTTTAAATCTAAAGAGACTAGACTGTTGATTCTAGAAAACACTCTTGGTACTAAAATCTGTATTAGTCAGCATTTTCTGGATAATGTGTATGTATATTTAATGAGTTAAACATAACTACATTCTGTCCATCCATCCATCCATCCATCCATCCATCCATCCATCCATCCATCTATCCATCCATCTAGGATGTGTAATGTTGTCAGGATCTAGAATCACCTAGGAGACAAGCCCTTGGACACACTAATGAGGGATTATCTAGATTAAGTTAATTAAGATGGGAAGACCTACCCACTATGGGTAGCACCATTCCCTTGGCTGGCATCTGGGACTGTATGAAAAAGAGAAAGTGAGCTGAGCATAGATATTTATTGCTCTGAGACACAACATGGCCAGGTGCTTTAGGCTCCTGCTGCCTAGACTTCCCTGCCATTATGTATATTGTGCTTTGAACTATGAGTCAGAATAAATCCTTCCTTCCTAAAGTTACTTTTGTCAGGGCATTTCATCATAGCAGCAGAAAAGTAACTAAGATACCATCTATCATCTCTATCTGTCTATCTATCTATCTATCTATCTATCTATCTATCTATCTATCTATCATCTATCTATCTATCTATCTATCTATCTATCTATCTACCTACCTACCTACCTACATACCTATCTACCTAGTTATCTATCTATCACCTAAAATGAAAATCCGATTCATGCAGTTTAGGAAGTCTCACACTTCTTGTCTGTATCTGGAAACAAAGGAAGTCAGTGGTGTGATTCAGTCCATAGGCAGATGCCTGAGATTTAGGAGGGCTGGTGGTGTGAATCTTGTCTGAGGGTAGGAGAAGTCCAATGTCTCAGCTCCAGTGATGAGGCAGGAAAAAGGAGGCAGATTGATTTCACCTTTTCTACTCTGGATCTCAGTGGCCTGGGAAAGTCACCCACCTTCTATTTCTCTTTGCTGTTTGCTCCTAGAAGCACCCTCAAAGATGCACATTCAGAGGCAGTGTTTGATCTGAACACCTTTGGTCAGGCAAGTTGACATATCAAAGCCACCATCACGCTGTGCTAAACCCTGGCGTCTAATGTGATTTAGTGTCGTCCTCCATCACAACCTGTACCAGCAGGTTAGGGACCTCTAAACTCACAGTGGTGGGGAAAAGCAGGACCAAGGACATGTCAGACCTGGACACAGTTGTAGGCCACTCCTCCTGCACCAGCCCAGTATGTGATAGATAATCTTTATTGTCAATTTGACAGGCTCTCAATCACCTAGGAGATACACTTGTGTGCATGTCTGTGAGGAAAAAGTGATTCTCATTTCATAATAAGAGTACTGGAGACTCAGAGTAGCAAAAACTCAGCAGTTTATCTTAGCTCTTCAACAGTTGGACACCAGCCTGGAATGGCAGGCATACTGACTGAATGCAGAGAACATTTTCTAAACCAACAGACCTTCCTCCCTTTTATGAATAACCGGGAAGGTGGGAGTTTACATGTTATCTAGGTCTTATCTTCCTTCTGTGGCTTTTCTCAACAAAAACCTTGTGTGGGTTCATTCTGTGTTTGACACCTTGGTTTTTGTTTGTTTGTTTGTTTGTTTGTTTGTTTGTTTGTTTGTTTTAATGCTTATCAGATTCACCATCTTGCAGGGAAGCTTGGCTGTCAGTAGTTGTCTACTCTTAAACTCCTAGATGGTGTGTAACTTAGGAGAGTTTGGATATATTGGGTCATGAGGAGAGAATAGCTAGACTAGCAGGGATCAGCAGGAGTCTAGTGTTTTCTGTTCATTGGTAACTGGACTTAAGCTTGCTCAGGGCCCATTTGGAAATGAACTACCAGATTTTATTTCTGACAGGTGTTTCCAGAGAGGTCTAACCCAGCAGGAGTGAGTACCTTCCAGCAGGTGAGCCAGTACAAAAAAGCCTAAAGAAAAAGCAGTGTTGGCTGCCTGCCTTCCCTTGGTCTGGAGCCAGTGCCTGGCTCTGCTGCCACTGTCCTCTTCTGACATCAGACTCAAGCTTCTTCAGCCTTCTTCCAACACGAACTGAACACTAGTGACTCTCCAGGAATCTTCCAGACCTTCGGCACCAGGTTGGGACTGCTGAGGTGATCAACTTTGTGGACTAAACAGCATCTCTAGTGTCATGTAAGTCAATTTAACAAATCCCCTTTTATAATACATGTTTCTTCTGTTAGTTCTTTCTCTAAAGAACTCCATGTAATCCAGATTGTGGTGCCAGTAGCAGGTTCTAGAGAGGCAGAATTCTAAGGATGAATTTCTCTAGTGGGCTTGATGGTATCTGGAGCTGGCTCTCCAATTCATCTATACCTAGAATTGCTAAAGACTCTGCACTAATCTGGTAATGTAGAGAGAACATTATTATTCCATCTTGTGAATTAAAGAACTGTACAGCATGCACGCGTTCACACACACACACACACACACACACACACACACACACACACACACATAAATAAATAAATGAATATAATTTTAAAATGAAAATAAGAGGAAAGAGAATGGCCCTTCCAAGAATGGAAGTGGGCTGAGAGCTGGGAAAAGCTAGAAGCTCTGATGGCGCTCGGCCAGGGCAGTCATGAGCTTCTGTGGGTCATTTATAGAGCAGCTACATGCTCCACATTTGGAGCATTTGAGGGCAGGAGCTTTATTCAGGTGGAGTCTGTCCCTTATATGCTGCCCCTAGTTGGACCTTTCCAGTCTTCCTCTACCACTGGTTTCTTTCATATGTTAATTTTCATCCTCTTTTTTCCCCAACATGCTATGCTAACAGACAGCAGAGGCCAAGCAGTGTCCATTATGGTTCAACTGGGATAGCTCAGTGATGTGGGTTCCCAAAAGAGCAATAGATGGGGGAAGGGGCTTAGTAAGCACCCACTCCATCTGTATAAGCAAATTCCAGAGCAAATGAAACATTTGCCTTGAAGAATTGGAGAGCCAACTCAGCATTTAAGAGCACTGGCTGCTCTTCCAGAGGGCCTGGGTTCAATTCCTGGCACCTGCATGGTGTCTCACAACCATCTGTAGTGACTCCAGTCGTAGGGGCTTCAATATCCCCTGCAAGCCTCTGCAGGCACCAGACATGCAAATGGTATACAGACATGCATTCGAGCATAACACTCATACATACAAAATAAATTTTAAAAAATTTAAGAAGTTTACTTTGAATTGTAGCAACAGAGAATTACAGTTCCTCAACAAATTCCCAGACAAGCCAGCTTACAGCCCAGAATCTCTTGAATGAAGGAGAAGCAGGTCCCCTCAGGAAGGACCACATTACACTACCAAAAAGTTTTACAGTCAATCAGTCTTTCTCCAAAGGAACTCATAGGCTTTGATGAGGGTAAATGTACATGCAGGAAAAGGAGATAACCAGATTTTTCAGGGCCTACTAGATACTGACTCTGACCTGTCGCTGATTCTGGGAAACCCCCTCCAAAGCGTTGTGGACCTCCAGTTAAATAAAGGCTTATGGAGGTCAGGCAGTTGATGGAGTGTCAGCCAAAGTCTGACTCACAGTGGGTCCATTGGGCCCACAAACTCACCCCAGTGGGACAGATATACTTAGAGGTTGGCAGAATCCCAACATTGGTTGTCAGACCTGTGGAATGAGGGCTGTTATGGTCTGAAAGGCCAAATGGAAGCCATTAGTTGCCTCTACCAGGTAAAATAGTGAACCAAAAAAGAAAATCCCCTGGAGAGATTACAGAAATTAATGCCACCATTAAGGCCTTGCAAGATGCTGGGGGTGGAGTGGGATGGGGGGATGGCTCAGTGGTTAAGAGCACTTGGCTGCTCTGGAATAGGACTTAGGGTTGATTCACAGCACCCACTTGGTGGTAATTCCAGTTCCTGGAGATTTGATGCCCACTCTATTCTGGCCTCCAAGGGCACTACACACATGTGGTTCATAGATAAACTTGTAGGCAAAACACCTATACTAACATTTTTTTTAAAAAATGAGAAGGGCTAGAGAGATGGCTTAGAGGTCAAGAGCATTGGCTGCTTTTTCAGAGGACCCTGTTCAATTCCTAATACTCACATGGCAGCTCACAACTGTCTGTAACTCCAGTACCAGGGGATCTAATGTCCTCTTGACGTGGGCACCAGGCATCACATATGTGGTGCACAGACATACATGTAGGCAAAACATTCATAAACAAAGTAATACAATACATAAATAAAGCTGGAAAAATTGGAAAGATGCAGGGGTGGTGGTTCCTGCCACATCTCCTTTTAACTCTCCCTTTTAGCCTGTGCAAAAGACAGATGGACCATGGAGAATGGCAGTTGACTATGACAAACTTAAGTAGAGACTCCAATCACAGATGCAATGCCAGATGCAGCTTCCTTACTTGAGCAGATTAATACATCTCCTGGTACCCAGTATTCAGCTATTGGTCTGGCAAGTTCTTTTTTCTCTAGAAACCTGTCCATAAGAACCATCAGAAGCAATTTGCTTATAGCTAGCAAGGTCAGCAGTATACCTTTACAGTTTACCTCAAGGGCATATTAACACCCAGCCCTGTGTCATAGTTTAGTTTGCAGGGAACCTGATATACAAGGGATCACATTGGCCCATTACATTGACGATGTTATGCTGATAGGACTAAGTGATTGGAAAATGACAGGCACTCTGGACTTGTTACTAAAACATTTTGGATTTGGGAGGCAGCAAGCTCCTTACTTGGGTGTGTCACTTCAGCCCATACACCAAATAAACTCAGAAGGCTGCTAGTTTTGAGTGGGACCCCTCTGCTGTGTGGGCTCCTCTGCTGTTTGGATTATATGATTCAGCAGACTTGAAGGTCGCTTAATGTGGCAGTGGCACATAGGATGCTGTTTGGAGTCTTTGGTAGGTCCTTGTAGGTGACCACAGTGGAGCCCCTTGGAATTTTGGAGTGGAGCCTTATATACAATCATTCTCCCTTTGGGAGACAAACCTCGGCTTGTTATTGGGCCTTAGTGGAAACTTAACGTTTAACAATAGGATGTCAAGATCTGTATTGCTCATGGCAAAGTCTTCAGCCCAGAATGGGATGTCATTAATCCCCTCCACCAAAGGCTAGGAAATGTATGTAGAAGAGGTGACTGAAAGATTTTAAGATCCGGAGGTGATGGATGACTCTAAGGAAACAGTGTCTTCCAGACACAACAGGATGGATGTCACAGGCACTGTGACATCACACACAAGATTTACACAGGTTCAAATCAGACAATATCCCAGCACTGAGAAGGGGAAGTGGACACCAAGTTCCATCCCTAATCAAGAAGCTATTGGCAATTGATATATGCTGAGAAAGGGAAAATTAGTTTTCTCCAATGGAATGTCACTAGATATATCAGCCACACTCCAGGGGAGACCCCGTGCCCAGGAGTAGTTGGCCAACTCAAATAAGACTCTATGTTTTTTGGTTCTTTGTTGTTTTGTTCTATCTTGAGCAAACTGGATGTTAATGATCCGAGAACTGACCTGAGGAAGCAGTTGTAGTACTAAAATCCAAGAGACAGTGTTGAAGGAAGGAAACCTACAGTTCTGGGCAGAGATTGAACGGACATGGGAGATGTGAGAGAGGCCCAGCCAAGGGCTTCTTGGAAAAGATGAAAAGTCTGGCAAAGCAGATCACGAAAACCAAAAACGATGCTGGCAAAGGACGAGGGGACAAATCGATACTTCAGGGGGTGGGAGGGGGAGGTGGGGAGGTTGAGTAGTGTAGAGAACTAGCAGTTTCTTAGGAACGAATCTAAATGCAGAGATGCCACACAACCAGCAAGTGCTGTCTCTGGGTTTGTCCCAAAGAAATGAGAATCCACGTCCACTCAAATGCACGTTCACACATGGAGAGTCAGGCTCTCCTCTTGATCTCCCCTGCCCCCAGCCAGAGGCTTACCCTATATCCCAGACTCTCTTTGGACACAGTACATAGTCATGTTGCCTCAAACTCATGGGAACACTCCTGCCTCAGCCTCCTGAGTGCTGGGATTATAAGTGTGAGCACACAGTAGCTGTTTATTTAGAAATTTTTTTTGAGAATGTCGTACATGAGTACTTATTTACATTTTTTTCACCTCTCCATCTCCAGCTCCATCCATATCCCAACCCACTCCCTCTCAAATTCATGACCTTTTCTTTAATAATTATTGTTTTATATGTGTGCATAAGTGTACATGTATGTTTAAGTAAACAAAATAATATTTTTTCTATTTTTCAAACATTCTTTTTTCATAATAGCCCCAAGTATAATAGATGAAAATGTGCCTTGAAAAGTGAGTGGTTGGCTAGGTGTAATAGATGTTATTCCAGAACTTTATGAGTAGAGGCAAGAGGTTCAGTTCAAAGTTATCCTTAGCTACAGAGGGAGTTCAAGGCTAGCTTAGGCTACATGAGACCTTGTCTCACTCCTTCCCAAAGGAAGATGGAGAATGTAGAGATGAGGAGCAGATCAGTGGTTATGTGGTCATCTGTGGAGGTGTGTGTGTGGGCCTGTGGCTTTGAGAAATATCAGGAATGCAGTGATGATAAAGTTCTAATTACTGCAGTGGTAGTTATATGAAGCTATACACACACACACATACACACACACACAGGTAGTATACACATGCATGCACACATATACACACATGTACAGTCACATTCGCACATGTGAGTACAGGTGCATCTGGTGAAGTCTAAATTATCTATGTGTATTGAACAGGTGACGATTCTGCTTGTTATGGTATTTATGCAGATGTTTGCTTTGGGGGAGGCCTGAAGGAATAATGCACCAAGGCTTCCTGTGTACCTCTTGGGAATCTATAATTGTCTCAAAGTATAGTGTTCAAACAGATTTCAGGCCATGAACGTTGAAAATGTCAACCAAATCAAAACGTTACTAGAAAAAATTGTAAATGGACAAAGTTGGCTAAAAATAGATAAAATGGGGCTGAAGAGATGGCTCAGTGGTTAAGAGCACTTGCAGCTCTTACGGAGAACCAGAATTCAGTAGTTCCCAGCACCCAGCGGGGCGCATCTCACAACTACCTGTAGCTCCAGCTCTGGGAGATCTAATACCTATGGCCTCCTTTGGTGCGGAGGGGCGGGGGGGACGGGACGGGGGACACGACAGGCCAGGCCGTGAGGTTTATAG